TAAAAACTTCACACTAATACAGGGCTGCTTAAGTCACTCAGCAGAGCTCTTTAAGGTCCCTTTAATGCACCGGGGACGTGCGTTCAGAAGTACTCTCAAACCAGAGTGCAAGCACCAAACTTAGGTCAAGGATCATCCCAATGATATGCCATGCAAAACTGCACCACCCATTCTTCTTCAAGTCTGTTGGGACTGCATGCTTGAAGTTTAGCACACACTTTGGCTGTTCTAATGCATTTGAACCACTGAGCCTGCTGTGTAAGAGTTTTCATGCATCACATTGAATCTCTAGCCCACAATAACGGAACAAGAGATCTTCCCAGAGCCTTGTCTGTCTGCCAGTGGAGATAATCAGTTTACTGTTCAGGGGAAGGTGATTATTACTGGTGCAAAATGTGAGTTACCTTCTTCCCCCTCTTCATTAAACATGCCCAACCAAACGTATCGATGATATATACTGATATAAGCCAGGAAGGAATTAAAACTCCCGTTCTTGCCAAATGATTGAGCGCTTGCAGACAGAGATTCCTAAGAAAGTAGTATAGAGAAAGTACATTAGCAGCGTACTTGTGCCTTCATAGGAAATGAATATGGATGTAATTAAGAAAAGCTGATTTACATGGAACTATAAAACCAGGGACATAAAATGCAAAATTTTCTGTAAATGTCAAGTCAGTGTTTTGTGGTGGCCGAAACAAGGCACGTAGAGTATTGCAATGATATTAAGAAAGGAACTGAAAAGTAAAATGCCACTATATAAATCCCTAGTACATGAATATTTAAGACATTGTATGGGGTTCTAGGCACCTGATCTCTAAAGATTACAGTAGAATTGTTGTGCTACTATAGTCTGCTACTAACATTTTGAGAATAGCAATGTGTGGCATGGCTTCTGTCTGAGGAAATTAAAAAGACAAGACTGAGTATGATGAGGGGATGAGCAGGGTCTATAAAACAATAGGAAAAGGCAAATGGGAAACAAGAAACAGGGAACTTACAATACTAGAATCATAGAATGGTTTGGGTTGGAAGAGACCTTAAAGATCCGGTTCCAACCCCCTGCCATGGGCAGGGACACCTTCCACTAGACCAGGTTGCTCAAAGCCCCATCCAACCTGGCCCTGAACACTTCCATGGACGGGGCATCCACAGCTCCTCTGGGCAACCTGTTCCAGTGCCTCGCCACCCTCACAGTGAAGCATTTCTTCCTTATATCTAACCTAAATCTGCCCTCTTTCAGTTTAAACCCATCACCCCTTGTCATATCACTACATGCCCTTGTAAAAAGTCCCTCTCCAGCTTTCCTGTAGGCCCCCTTTAAGTACTGGAAGGCCGCAATAAGGTCTCCCCCGCAGCCTTCTCTTCTGCAGGCTGAACAACCCCAACTCTCTCAGCCCGTCTTCACAGGAGAGGTGCTCCAGCCCTCTGGGCATCTTTGTGGCCCCTCTCTGGACGCGCTCAAGCAGGTCCATGCCTTCTTGTGTTGGGAGCCCCAGAGCTGAACGCAGTACTGCAGGTGGGGTCTCACCAGAGTGGAGTAGAGGGGGAGAGTCACCTCCCTCGACCTGCTGGCCACGCTGCTTTTGATGCAGCCCAGGATTCAGTTGGCACACGCTGACAGCTCATACTTTTACATCCACCAACACCCCCAAGTCCTTCTCCTCAGGGCTGCTCTCAATCCACTGATTGAGACCATCTGATGAACTTATTAGGCAGTAAGCTTAAAATTAACAGAAGGAAGTACTTCACAAAATACACGTATTAAGATTGTGGAACCCATTGCTACAGGATGCTGTAGAAGCCAAAACTTTAAATGGATTAAAAAAGCAATCAAATCCTCAGAAAACAAGGAACCATTAAAAGGTCCAGACCTTCTTGTCCTCTGGCCCTAAAAGACCCTGTATTGCTGACTGATGGTGTATTTGGGCAAAGATCATGCTAGCCGTGTTACTTCCTTGCTTTCATTCCGCATCCATTGTTGAGCACTGTAAGAGACAGTATAGCCATCCCTGCATTACTTCCTTCCTGCGTTATAAGCCATTCTTCCCCTACAATACATATTCTTTCAAAATTTTGGGGTTTATGTTAAGAAATTCCATAGGTGGTCTTCAAATAGAAAGAGGCTTGATTAAAAGAAGCTGAGAACAAATTCAAGTAACTCAAAGAGTTTCTGTTGAGCAACCTGGTCTAGCGGAAGGTGTCCCTGACCATGGCAGGCGGGCTGGAACTAGACGATCTTTAAGGTCCCTCCCAACCCAAACCATTCTATGATTCTATGTTCAAAAAGTAAAAACCAGTTTAAGTAGCACTAAGTGATGGCTATTTCATCCCATTATTTGCCAAAAAGATACTAGCTTTATTAAAGAAGGACCTCTATTAGAGCTCTGAGTACTGGTTAGAGTATTATGATACTTACTTTTCATGAACTCTCACAGCAGTGCACACAAGAGGAAAGGTCAGTGGTAGAATGCAGTCATAGAGCTTGCTTTTGCAGTGTTTTGCTACGTACAGAACACCGTTTGAGCACTGGTGAGGTTCTGCAGTGCCAGCTCTAAGTGCTCAAAGGCAGGGAATACTTTAGAACCAGATGTTTTTAGTCACCTCAGTGGAGAAACTCATTGGAAAGAAAGTACTGCAGGCCGAGATGTGGGAAAGGATGAAAAGGGAGAGGCGATTTAGGCCAGTTCTGGGCAAAGATTCTGTTTTGGTTTTTTTTTTTTTTCCTAACTCAACATTAACAGCATATTATTTCATGATTCTCCCCTCTACAAGTGCACTGAGGGTCCAACGCAGAAACAACAGCTACCCTCTTCTGAAGTTCAGGCTTTTAAAACTTATTGTAAGACAACTTTTGAAGGTGTGTTCAACATTCACTGAGTAATCTGCAGCCCAGTCCCTTTCTTTTGAAGAAACAGTCAGTCTTTTTTGCTAGGAAAAAAACCCAGATGTTTTTCCTGGTATATATGGCGAAATACACGTGTGTGCATCCCACTAACTCAGGGAACGCGTGTATGTTCTTAATTCTGCTTCTTTCCACTGGATCCTTGTATCAGTTCCTTTCAGTAGTGCTTTCTACAAGTAGCTTGGCGCAGGCTATTGAAATCAGTTTCACTCTTGTGGCCTTTTCTTCTTTCAAGTGTGTCTACTTGTGTCCCAATGCCACGAAGCACTTGTTTTTGTTTCTTTGTAGCACTTCTTTCTTGATAACGTAAACAACATTACCTTTAAGCATAGCAAGAAATATTACCTATTTATCTAAAAACTGAATATAGCCCAGCCACATTTCAAATTTTCATATACTGGAGCACACAAAATATGCCATGTAGTATGATCGTAATTTTTATGTAGAAGCACCTTCCTCCAAACATGATCTCATAAATAGATAAATGAAGGACATTTACCAGGTAATTTTCATAATTAAAAAGTAGGCATGCACATTCAAAAAGCTAAACCCTAATTCACAGCAATTAGATCATTAATAACTAATACAATGGACTTTAGTTATATATCGCTTACATAAAAGCCTGAGAAAAATATGATCTTGTTGAGGCTCAATTTGTACTCTAGCAAATGGTTTCCAGTAGTATGTGAATTTGAATAAACATCTAAAAACTCCCTATTTGGTCATTAAGAACTTTGTACCCATTTTCAACTTAAATGTTGATTTCAGCCATGAAACCTCCAAATGAAACATAAATAGATGATACTTATTCACTGGATATTTCAGAGGCCCTTTAGACCCAGAGATTTATTTCTGTATATATTAGATCTGATTAGCCTACACCAAATGAAATTATATATAAATTTGCTGGAAAAGTACAGGCAAATGTCACAAAATGTACAGTTCAGTCACTGTAATCGTTACAGGTAGATTCAAAACCTACAGCTACATTGTCTTATTATTTTACAGCAAATTAAATATGAAATGTTTGCTCTGAACACTCAGAAAAGGAGAAAAATATCAGAACCTGTACAACTTCACTAAAGAACAAAGGACTATCTCTAAAGCAGTCCACTAGAAAATAAGCTTTTGTTTTAAAGTTCTGTTTAATTAATTGTTGTCACTAACTGTGATAACTATCTGAAATATGAATTTTATCATTTATCTACAGACTTTCTAAAATTTTTTTCTAATATTAACAACTCTATCTAGTGTACTAAAGCAATACAGACAAACACAAGCCAAACAGGCATAACAGTTAAGACATTTATTGCTTCTCGTCTCCTACCATTAATTTTCTCATACAGGTATCCACACAACTACCTTTTTCCCCCAATAAATGAGGACATATTTTACATATATATATATACACACACACACAGAGCACCATTATCGGAATAATTTCATCCTCCTGCTTACTTCTTCCCCCCTCCCCCCAAGTGCATTTGATTGCAAGGGCTTCATAATTTCTGAGTTCTGGCTATATCAAACCATGAAACAAGAAATGGTATTACTCTGTCTGTATTTTGTTCCTCAGGATCTAGAACAAATACAGATTTTACATTGCAAACTGTTATTTGACTTAAGAAAAATTTCTCAGATGTCTTCAGTGAGGTGAATTGGGTCTTCTGTCACCCTAAAGTCAGGTGAGACATCATACTCCTGTTTTATAGATTCTAAAAATGTTTAGTTTCTGAAGAACATAGGAAAAGGGAATCATCTGCTTCTGGACAAACACACAGAATACAGAATTATTCCATACATACAATTCTCTTTCTTATCAAAAAAATATTCCTTCTTTCCAATCTAGGAACAATTTTTCAAAGAACAAATCACCGCACGCATTCTGTATTTCCTCTTAAACTACACAAGCTATTATCGGTTCTGTAGAAAATGTTCTATATATCTGCTTTAAGATACATGTATGTATGTGCTGAGGAAAGAAAGGGAACTAGTTGGTAGATATTTAAAATATTATCTGCAAACCACAGAACAAAGATAAAAAATTCTGTAATTTTTTTATGTCGTTGCTTGTCTTTATTTCAAAATCATCTCGAGCTTCTGCTGAATAATGATTCATTCCTAAATGCAAAAGATCATTTAGCTTTGTGTTCTTTATTAAGACTTCATTATTTTTACAAAAATAGAATAGAGCATTAGTCTTCATTACTTTTTAGTTTAACATACAGTTCATTTATTTGGAAAGGAGCATTTTGGGGTACAACATATTTAGTTTATTATTGGTGGTTCGTTTAACTGTTAGTTTATAGCAGGTCTTCTTGTCACCACACAAATTATCAAGCTTCTGCTATTATAACTAAAAACCACACAGATGCCAGAAAATGTTTTTCTAAAAAAGTTAATTTAGGAATAAACTATCATGTTGTAGCAAACAAGGTCAAGAGTCCCTTTAAGAAGGAGACTATTTCATTGCCTCCCAGTTTAGATTCTCCATAGACACGGTCCACAAATGAAATAGGAACCTGTTGAAACAAGCAAAACTACCTTTAAGGTTCAAATCCTTAATAATCAGATATTCTCTAAACAAAAGAACGGCCTTTGAACTACAGCATGTTTAGACATGGGAAGAAGGCAAGCACCAGATTAGCTTACTTTGTGTCAGTTCTTCGTATCAGTGGCTTTAATGATGCCCCATAGCTGGGGAGCATGAAATTATTTGGTTTATCACCTTTAAAGATGATCCAAAGGCATTACTCAGTGGCTGGATGATACACCAGTCAGAACAAACTTAATAGCTTTAAGTGCACTAAAAGCCTGGGGGTTTCAAATGAACCTTCACCACTTTCCTTGTTAGCTAAATTCAGTAACTTTGAGTCAATGCCTCAGGAAGGCAAAAATCTCCTGCCACCACGAAACAGCGTTCTGCTCAACCTCACCACTGGCTAGAAGATGACATCTGAATATGGCAGTTAGTGCACATTTTACAAGCAATACCTGTCTTTGACCATTTTATAGATTATTTACAGGACGAAAGGGCATTTAAAACACTAATGTTGGTTTCCTTACTTAAGTAATCATACTGTCCAGATCAACTCACTACTCATAAAATGGTAGGAACATACTGCTTTTCAGTAATTTGACCACGTACAAATGACACATGACAGGACATTCTGCCAACACTGTATTAGAATATTCAAGAATTTCCATATATGTTTGTGTGCAAAATTGAAATACTTCAGGGGCCAAAAATCAAGAATTGCATTTGCAAAAGTCATTTAAAAATTGGCTTAGCGTTCTGCTGGCTGTTTCAACCAGAAATCATCTGGCAAGTGGAACACAAAAATCACCACACCCTTGCATCTGTGCCAGGACCAAGGATTTCTCACAATTCTAGCAGATCGGTCCACGGTAGAAGAGAACCCAGGGCAAGACGATGGTAAGGAAGATACTCAACAATGACTCTGGCTTTCTTAGTAGGGTCGCTTTGATGATGCCAGTAAGCATCCTGGCAACTACAAACAGCTGATCTACGGGGCATGACAGAAATCACTGAATATGTAGTCAGTGCAGGATGTCAGAAGTGACATTTCCTGACCAGTGATGAAAGAATGGTTAATATCTCATCTAATAAAAGGCATCCAGTCTTTCCCTTCAGTATAAGAATTAACAGCCTGCATTGTTGCTGGACTTTGCCTTTCTTGCATAAGAAGTTCTATCATTAGTCTTCAAGGAAGCATTTTCAAAAGAGTGTACTCCAGGCACTGTGGTACATTTCACATACAGTAAATTAGTATAGCTAAATGAAACAGAGGTGCTCCTCAGGTATAGCTTCTGTCAGTTCATCTCACCATCCGTTTGTTCCTTTTAGACTGGCAGGTCTCAATCTTCACTTTCAACTTTGCTTAAGAAATATTTTACCCTCTCAACTGTACTTACATTTTACAATTGCATAAAAACTCCTATTCTGCCTGCAGAGTTGCAGCAAACCAGGAATTAGATGTGCAAGTGTCACCTCTTCTGGAATTTCGGTATTACCGTTTGGATAATTATAAAATATATAAAGATGATAAGTATTGATCAGGAAATACTGTATCAATGTACTTGAAACATAATGGAAAATTGTCCTGCCCCAGGAAGTTACAATATAGAGATGATACACAGAACAGTAAAAATACAATAGCCTTATTTATAGGTCTATGTCAGCAATCTGAACACTGTCAGGTTTGTTACAGATATCACAACGGAAATCTTAAAGACAAAGCCGAAGCAGAATAATGAAGCAACTTTTCGGATGTTAGAGAGAACTCTTCCCACATGTGAGAAACCAAAGGAGGAGGAAGATGATGCTTACTTGAGAATGTAACAGGTAAATTGTGGAGGATGGCCCTAACTGACCCATCGCAAAACACAGCCCGTGCCTCAGCACTGACTGGGAGACATTAGGCCTAGCGAAGACTGTCTTTGAACTGGCTTTGAACCAGAAGACAAATATCTTATCTTTGATGCTATAACAACCAGTAGAGGCATGTAAATAAATGAGTGGTGGGATCAAATAATAGACAGAAAAAAGGTCTTTGCAGCAGCAGCCTGAAGAGGGATAAGCAACCCAAGATAGCATTTTTTTAAAGCCAGAGAAGTGCATTTTACTGTTTTAAAAATGTATAGTAAATAAAACCTCATCTCACCCTAGGTTTAGTATCAGATGTACAGACAGGTGGGAATTTAATTCAGCAATATTAGAAAGCAATATGTGAATGCAGCTGGACGTGAAGACCAAAGAAATTAGGGTCAAACCCCAGCTACAGACAGGATAGTGATGTTGCTCCATAAGCAAGAAAGGTGAAAGAAAAGAGCTTGCTTTATTGTGCGGAAATACTCTACGTGATGTTGACAGAGAAATGCAATACGTAAGGTTTAGAGAGAGAAGTACCAGCAACAGAATTCTCTGACAATTCACAGTCATGAAAATGATGATGAAGAACTGGTTCTGAGATTTGGCTGCAGAGAGAATTCCAGTGAATCATCTTTAAAGACACCAGCAAGGGCAATTCAATGAAATATAAAAGGCAGTAATCGGACTGCTCGAAATAGAGGCTCTAACAATTGTTTGGAGTTCTTTTTCAATGACTGTAGACAGCGCATTCAAAGAGTTTAGAAGTGGAAAGTTGTGATAGTTGGAAAGTTGGAAAATAAGGTGATAAATGACAGAGAACAGAATAAATCTGAAATAGAATCAGGTTGCTGGAGAAAACAAAATTATTTGGAAAGACCTAACTAGAGATGTCTGTACAATATGAAGGAGGAAAGAAAAGGCTCAGAGCAGCTTCCTGGTATATTTTGACTTCTTCCCCTCCTTTGAAGGATCTTGTAAAAATTGTATGCAGCTAAAGAAATGGCAACAGGAAGAGGGAAGGATCTGAGAAGCGTATCAGCCAGGGGAGTAAGTAACGGGAATTTCAGATCTGGTATTCACCTGGAAAAGTTGGAAAAATAGAGTCCTACATACGTAATTTGTTTATATCAATTTGAAAATCCCGCTGCTTCTTGGAAGCGCACGAAATTTCCTATGCTCCCATTAATCTGTAACCATGCTTAAATGAAAGCACAATATACTTATCAAAACTTTTACTATACCTCTCCAATAGTATATCCTAACTGTCTAGCCCGAACAATCATCTCCATCTGGAAGACGTATCCTTTAGAAACACATTTTTCCATTAGTTTCTGTAAGACTTCTTTTCTGTATAACCTGTAAACAATTACAAAGAAAATGAAACCTGAAGCACAATTTCTGAACTTTGGAAATCAAGATAGTGTGTAGGAATCTTAACTGTAATCACTCGTATCGTTACTATTTTAAAAAATCTTTAACAATGTCATAGGATCAATAGTTCTTGCAATCTAGGCTACTATTTCTTACATCCTTTCCAAACAGATTTCGTAGTCCTCCATAAGGAAGGTCTGTTTCTACTCCAGTTCCTTGTTCAGCAGTTTCTTCATTTCAAATAAACTTTATGAATTGCAAACCAGACCCATACCTGAAACTCCCTGTTAAGTCTGATGCACCTGGTCTCAGCAAAACCTGAGTTATAAAATTGGCACCACGACTGTGAAAGAAAACATGAATGTCAGAAGTGCTCAGTACACAATTCCAAAAGCAGAATTTCTAGAAAATAAGTAACTATCATTCTACTACCAAAAAAAAAAGAAACCTTTTATTGCTTAATATGAAACAATTATATTTCTAATATGTTTTCACTGCTAGATTTGACTAATAAATCATAGAATCTTGAAATCAAACCCCAATGTTTTGTTTTTCAAATGTAGGTGATTAGTAGATTATTGAACTTCTCTATGAAGGAGAAAACAATGATTTTTAGAAATGAGGTTTACAATCTGGTTCTTTATGGTGGAACTGTCAGTACAGCTACACACTAATACAATACAAAAGAAATAAATTTGACCACAGTCAAAATAATGTTTTTCTTCCGACTAATGTTCACTGTAAGTGGAGAATTTAGAATGCTTCCTGGACAAATGTGAGATATGGATTTAGAAAATCAAGGTTCAGTTTTGGTTTACACTGCTTTCATAGTATGATAAGGATAAGCTCCACTGACGAAAAATGTTGAGACCAAAAAGCCAGTCATGACTATCTTGCTGAGGGCTATATTACACACTGATAAGATGTGCAAGTCCTTCATCTAGTCCGGTATTATGTAAAAGGATTCCTCTGTAATGTCCATTTAGCTCTCTTCCTTTTTTTGGGTGTATATTTTTTTTAGATTCATAAAAAGATGAGCACTTATTCCAGCCGTTAAAAAACAGGAGAAATCCAAATACACTCCCTGTGATACCACCTCCAGATCAGACTGGTAACACAACTTCCGCTCTTAATTCTTTACAGTAACATATAAATCAGCATTAACTCATGCCTATTCTCTTTAAATCGGGCATAAGAGAGAAAGACTCTGCAGTAACTTGTCGATTACCTCCTCAAAATCTGTAAGTCCCTGTAAACCTGAGATACCAGCCTCCATATGCTTACATGACCTTGACAGGGTTTTCCTCTTTGCTTTTGGGTGAAACCTCTCCCTAGCGTTCACAGTAACCATTTTCCAGTAAAGTCTAAGTAATGATTTATTGACATTGATTGTGCCAGATAATTCTTAACTTGTGACAAATCAGAGTGTCAACAGAGGGGTTTAGCAAGCGATTTACTTTTAGGAAAAGGACCATTACAGCTATTAAAGCTAACTAAATGTGCCTTTTAAACTTGACAAGAGTGTCATAGTCTCAGCTCATTCTTTGGATGATGAAGCTGAAAGAGGGTCCCAACCTGATGCCATATAGATTTGTCCACTGTTCCAACCCACTTCTCAAGCCCAGTCATATAGCTACATTCTTTCCTGGTGGGTTTTAACCAAAGAATCTGCAAATCATGCATGCTTCTGTTATTTAATATAATTCTGTAGTACCCAGTACTATTGACTAAAGACTCAGTTCAGCTCACACAGATTGAGTTCAGTACTTGGAATTATTATTTCTAATTAACAAATTTATGTGTAAATATCTAGAAAAATACTAACCTGATTAATTTTCTTTTCAAATCCCAGCCATATACTCCTCCATTTCCTTTATATCTTGTTCCAGATACAATATCAAAATTGCCTTCTTTCTGCTTTCTATAAGCAATTGGTTTTATCAGAAAAACAGGAGGAATATTTGTATGAAGGTAGTACAAATTTCAAAATAAGAACAATCACTCTTTTAGTACAAAATCTGTATTTTGCAAACCTTTCAACAAACAAATAGAGAAGAGAGGAAAGCAATAGTATGATGGCTATAAGCATTGTGCATTTAAAAACCTATTAACTTCTATTATAAAGAGCTATTTCAGGGAATCTTATGATTATCTTCTAACAACTATGTCAGAATTTCATAACTACCTCATAAATAACTTATAAAGACCAACTTACGCATTTTTAAAGCCTCTCTCTAGCAAAAAAGATAGAATTATTTTAAATACAGATTTAAACATTTAAATTACACAAATCCATAGTAAGGAAAAAAAAAAAGTCTGGAACCATCCTTAGCCCATACCGTGCCTGACTGCTGCAGAACCTTATCTAATATTTTAGGCCTCCAGTACTACTAAGCAAGAAAGTTGAAAATTAAGCAGACTGTTACCCTCAGGCTCCAACGGAATGCCTGTTGACCATTTCTGACAAACTGAAATGTTACCGGGAGAGGAAGGTAAGACGTAGGCGAAAGGGACAGGAGTATTTCACCAATAATTGAGGACATTGTCCTCTACTCAATATCCTTACACACACACATGATGAAATCATTGGAATTAGAAGATGACATTTATATATTCACTTTCCAAAGCTGAACCATTACAAGGAAGAGAAGTACTTAGCCACACATGCTTTCTGTTACTTTAAACTTGAGGATTTTTGCTCCAGTTAAAAACTAATTATTTTCTGGATTATTTTGGGACAAATCTAATGAGGTCCAATCACTTTTATTTAAATTCTTGCCTTGCCAATTTTCTTACTACAGCTAGACAGCTAACACAAGAATATAAAACTTTCAAATATTACTACGAAACAGTAAATGTTCAGAAGTCATTCTCTCATACTACAATTGGCACCTACCTGATAAACTCTGGAATAAATTTTGGCTGAAACGGAAGGAAAACAGATCAGAAAAGAGAAAGGCGGGGAGGGATTTACTTATAACAGATTAAAACCACAGTACATAAAACACAGACTTACATGGTGAGAGAGGTCAGCATCCATAATAACAATAAAATTCCCAGTGGCGTGCTTCATTCCATGAATATAGGCAGTGCCTGATGGAAACAGTACAGAAATAATTTCCCTCGCTATTTTAACTTATGCAATCTTCTAGCCACAGTCTTCACTTATTTTCTAAAATCTCCAAGTCATACTAGAAAAGAATCAACTAAAAACTCCTAGAATTTATTTTCTAAAATCTCCAAGTCATACTAGAAAAGGATCAACTAAAAACTCCTAGAATTTATTTTCTAAAATCTCCAAGTCATACTAGAAAAGAATCAACTAAAAACTCCTAGAATTTATTTTAAAATGATGTATCAGTGGT